CGCGACAAACGATCCCTCTCTTCTTCCGCCTCGTCGCCGCCAAACCTTTTCCCGGCAAACTGCCGTCGTTGCTCGTTGCCCGACCGCGCGACAACCACCCGGAAGAGAAAACCCCTTTTCTCGCCCCTCGCTCCATTGTCTCGCTCGCCGATTCCTCGATCGCCTTCCCCACCTCCCCAACTGCAAAAAGAATCGAGCTTCCGATAAAAATCCAGAGAGCGAGAGAAATTCTTTTCCGTTCGAAATCGTTGGATATGTAAATCGGAGGGGGGGGAAGAGGAAATGGAGGAGAAGACCTCGATCCGTTCACACCGCCGCTCTCTCAGATAAGGAGAAACCTGGACGGATACGGAGCAAGAACAAAGCACCCCAAGCTTTCCTCCCCCATTCCCTCCTCGCCGATTACCGAATAAATCGCCATCTTGTCGATAACCTATGGGCGTTCGTAATAAGCAACAGGTTGATGCTCGATCTATAAACGGGAAACGTTTCGAGATTTCGATTTCACGAATCACCGAAACGCCTAACCTCGGATCGAGGCGAATCGGGATTGGAGATATCGGGATTCGAGGTGTCGGGTGGAACGGATCACGTATCCTAACCTAAGCGTATCCTTTCGTTCTCGTCTCTCCGCAAATCCCCACCCACTCGGAAATAATAACGAGCGATGCGACCACTGTGGAGCTGCGATTTAAAATAACGTTCCGAGTAGGGATCGAGCGAGAAAAGAAAAAGTAAATAAATAAATAAAACGACTACGCGAGCGAAAGTAAAAATTTCATCGACGAATTTCTCTACCTTTTCCGTTATCTCGCATTTCGAACACTGGACAAGGATGGGCAAGGGAAGAAGAGGACAAGAGACGATCAGAGGAGAGGGAGCTTATCCCCGCGAGAGCTTATCGCGACAATCCGGCCCGTCGCTTGCCGCGATCAAAGTATTTCTCGCACTCTCGATAAATCGTCGTTCCGAATTTCCAAAGTCGAGCAAAGCCCTCCCTCGCGTCCAGGGCGTCCTCCGTCGGCCGAAAAAGGAGCAAGGAAAAAGATTCGGCTCGGTCATTCGGCCAATTTCCTTCCCCCTCGTCCTCCCCCTTCTGCTTTTTCATCCCTCCGAGCGTCGACCGGATTTCAACTTTCATTCCCTGCGGAGACGCGAACGACCGACCCGGACCACTCCACTGTTCCGAAACACTTGAAAACTTTGGTCCGGGAATATCTACATCGAGGAAAACGTCGTCGTCGAAGTAAACGAAGGAAGGAAACGTCTCGAAAATTTCAAAGTCTCGGGGACGGATTCGCTTCGCATCCAACGGATATGGACGGACGGAGGGGGGGGATCCGGCAATTCGAAAGCGGATATTCCTTTCGCATCGAGCGTAATTACCCTACGTTCTTCTCTTTTCTTTCCTTTCTCTACTTTGGACGCGGTAATAGCGTACGAGCGGAAGAAATTAAACCGGCATTTTTTCTTCTTCTTCTTCTTTTTCCTCGAGGGGAACGCCCTTCGAAAACCCCCTTTCGAAGCGACGATCGCGCGGAAAATTTGCGATCGGCTGACGAGGCGGGAAACGGGAATTAATTCGTCGGATCGGGGGGAAAGAACGGGATAAGAAGGAAGGAGGCGATAAACTGGTGAAAATTCCCTCTCCCTGCCAAAATCGCGTTTTTCATAATTCAATCGGTATGTGGAAACGACGCGCAGCTTCTTCCGTTTCGAATATATCTATTATGCTCCGTAATAACCGTACGTGTACAGGACAGTGGCTTACGTCATTTGGAGAGAAATCGATCTGCGGGAAATTGGCTGGGTTCGCGGAAAAAGTGCTCCCCTTCTTTGGGGGAAGGGACGAGGCGCGTAAATCGGCGGATAACGGAACCGAGCGGTCGGTGAAATTGGAAAATTAAATTCGGGCGAGGAGAGAGAAGGGAAGGAGAAGGGAGGGACTCGTGTGTACTAACCGCGCGTAAAAAACTGTTTTCCTTTGCAACGAACCGTCTGGCGGAGGATACGGTTTTTCTTAAATTTCAACAGTTGAAAGGAATCGAGAGAAATTAATGTTACATCGCGAAAGATCGGAAAAGAAAGATTGCTTCTTCCCTCCTCTTCCCGTTTCTTCTTTTCGATCCAAGTTTACGTACGGTAGTAAGGCGAGGCGAGGAGAGAGTTCAATTTTTGTTGCAGGTTCGATCTCTCGTTAAAGCGATGTTCCAACTTTGGCAGAGTTTTAATTAACGAGTACACGGTGGCTGACGGAATCTCTTTTTCCGCGAATCTCGCCGCGGAAGGGAGAGAAGACGAATCGCCAAAGTGTCGAGAAACGGGGTTAACGCGAGAGGATAAAAGTTGGGACAACGTTGCGATGTATCCACCGGTAGATTGCCCACCTCCCCTCGACAAATGAAATTCGTGCCACCTCCTAAGTCTTAACGAGGTCTCGCATCGAGTGGTTTCGTTTCCCGTAGAGCACCGACTCTACGGGATTAGAAGATCAAACTCTCTCGTCTCGGCGAGGAGGAGAACCCATCCTAAGTCGTCTTTTCATCTCTGGCGATTAATTCTCGTAGCTCGCGTTACGCTCGTCGTTGCGCGAAAAGAAACGGAACCGCGGATTCTTTGGTTCGCGGGCG